TCATCCAAAGATTACGGCTTCTGTTGAGGGTCTTATGGGCATGAAATGCCCTACCACTTGATGTATGTACTCATTCTTCAGTTGAAAAATACATGCATCTACATCATTCTCTTATCATCTTTTATGAGTGCTTTGGTTTTGTTCTATTATAAGAATGCTCCAGTGGTATGAAAAAATTTTATCGTACATGGGAGGAAAAGAGAACGAACTTCCATCCTAATATTTTGTGACTGTTCTTGATGAAACTAAGTTTCAGAAAGAATATAGTTGACATGCATCTTAAGTTCTTTTACCATACATTGTTATGGAATTAATATCATCATCCTTTCTTAGGTATGAGAACCTAATTCTAGTAGCTGGTGGGATTGGAATTTCCCCATTCCTTGCTATCTTGACTGATATTCTCCACCGAATTAGTGAAGGGAAACCTTGTCTGCCAAGAAAAGTCTTGATAGTTTGGGCCATCAAAAGATCAGATGAGCTTCCTCTTCTTTCAACTGTTGACATGGAGTCCATTTGCCCATCTTTCCCTGAGAAGTTAAATCTTGAGATTGATATTTATGTTACTCGGGAATCAGAACCACAATTGGTATATATATCTGCAGCCTTTCTCTGTTATTTTTCTATAGCTTTCAGATTGGAACTGCTCAACTCACTTAAGGGAGTTTGATTGACATCTATTGCAGGAGGAGGGCGTAGTCGGCAAGCAAATGACTACTTCTATCTGTCCTGTTACCAAAGGTTGTGATATGTCGGTGTTGGTTGGTACAGGAGATAACATATGGTCTGGTTTATATGTTATCTCGAGTACAGCAGGCCTTTTTATTCTATCAGGTCTGCTAGATATGCTTTACCTAAAGCCGTATAGCATAACTTCTTGGTGGTACAGAGGGCTTCTTTTCACAGGGTGCATGGTTGTAAGCGTTCTTGTGTTCGGAGGTGTTGTGATTGGTCTATGGCATCTATTGGGTCAAAGAATTCCGCATGACCAGGACGAGAAGATGAAGGTTCATGAAGCACATAATAACGAAACTGATGGAGCTAACAAGGATTCACTTCAGAAGACTCTGACGCATTTAAGCGAAATTCACTATGGTTCAAGACCAGACTTCAAAGGTATGCTTGTCTCAATTGGACCGAGTCCTATGTGTGTGTGTGTGTGTGTGTGTATATATATACACCAAAATGGGTGTCTTTTGGATTGGCTGACTTGGTTGATGCCTGCATAAACTTGATTTCTGATGTGTTTGTTGCAGAAATATTTGGAGGGATACATGGGAAATGGGGAGGAGTTGATGTGGGGGTGATAGTGTGT